TTTTTTTTTGTTTTTTGAAAAATATACTAAAACAACTTCAATTATTCTATTCAGTCTAAGTGGTCAAAGGGACACAACATTTTGTTGTTGTTAGTTAAAAAAGTTTAGAAAAACTACTTATTTAATTCTTTTATAAATTTTTTATGGTCAGCTTTAGTTTTTGCTGGGCACGCGATTAGTACAGTATTTCAAAGAAGCAAAATTGTGAAAAAAATGCGAAATTTTTGGAGCAAAGGATGTTTGCACGGATTGCGCTGTTGGTTGGCGCGAGAATAAGTTGTGTGAATGTCTCAGTTTTTTTTATATTGAAAAACTCAAAAAAGTGTTAGTAAATAATAGTGGAATGGTCTTAAAGTTATAGGTTTTTTGACTGTAAATATTGGATTTATTTAAAAACTATTTGGTTTGCCGGTTAAGAAGAGATCAGGTGTAAAGTTTCATCGCTGAATAAAATGAATGTGGTGTCAATTATCCATCTAAACGTAATGGGTGAATGGTTTAGCTGAAAAACTGTGGTGATTGTATTATTTTTGACGGAGTATTTTTTAATAGCGATAGTAGTAATTGTAATAATAGTAATAATAATTTTGGTTTTTGTTGTTTTTGAACCAAATGCAACGGTTTTATAATTACTGATGGTTCATGACACAGCAGCAATTATTGTTACTCCTATTATTATTATCATCGCCGTCATCGATATAATGGTTATTATGTGCAGTTACCAATCGTTTCGTCAAATAAGCAACTGTTGCTTTTATGTTCTATGTTGAGCGAATAGGTTTGCTATCTCAGAAATTTTGATGAAGAGATTTATCACAATGCGTTTTGGTTTGTTGTCACTACTGGCTAAATTTTGTATCACCTATAAACATTTTTTAATTTTTATTTTTCTTGTAAAAGTATTACAAAAAGGCTGTTTGTTTATCTTCATTCATTACCTGTTTTTTTTTTTTTTTTTGTTTGTAAGAAGCGCAGTTCCAAAAAACTGTAGAACAGTATCGTTAAGTGAAAAAGAGGAAAATTTAACCACTAAGGCTTGTAGTTTTTCTGGAGGTTCTAATAGGTTTCACAGCAAATTGGCTTTATAGCAACTGCGTTTTTTCTGATTTTTTAAATATGTCATCTACTGTGGTTTCAGCTGTTAAATTACTTTCAACTTTTCATATGCTTTTTTCTCATTCTAGAAGGAAGAAAGTGTGGAATATAGTGATGACTCACGTGAACCACCACTGAAAAAAGCACGCAAGTCAGACTCGTCAACATCAGAATCGGTTTGCAACGACCTTCAAGAAAGTGAAGAAGACACCATACCATTTGCAGATGAAGATTATGAACGGATCACTGAAAAGTCAAAAATGCTGCGGTTAAAGTCTGTCTTTTATTCGTTTATTGACAAAATCTCATTCTTGTTTAAAATTTCAAGCTAGTTTTTTTAATTTGTTTTAGTGCTGGCTAGAAAAATGAAATTGTAAAGAAAACTTAAATAGTATTTATCTTTTTAGAAGGGTTTTTAGGTGTTTTTTGACATAAGTTAAGTGTTATTTGTAGAAAATTCTCGTTGGCTGAAGAGGACACTGAGCGTCAGCCGGATGTTGGATATTCATCTGGTGAGAATTCGGTCTCTGATTCGTCATATGCACCGTGGTCAGCACTTACAGTTTTTTTTAAAAAATTATACGTATACGATTGTTTTTTCTGGGTAAAGTTTTTTGAGGTTGAAGTACAAGTTTTGTGGTGACTTGTCAAAATAAATCAACCGATTGTTTACTCTCTGTAACTTTAAAACTATCTTGTTAACAAGTGGTTAATCAGTCTGGTTTTTTGTCGGGGAAAAGAAAAATTGTACTGTACTTGCTCTTTGTGACGGATTTTTAATCCTTTTGAAGTCACGAATTTCACTCGATCTCACTCAAAAAAATAATTTCAGTTATATAAAGGCATTGGCTGAAGAAAGCGAAGAAGGGAGGTATACACGTCTTATCACGTCGCCAGCTAAACCTTTCTATCAAACAGTACATGTGGATGATGCTGGTTTGTCTATTAATTTTGTTTTTGCAGAAGCGTACGTTGTTTTAGGATTTCTTAATCGTTTTTGCAGTTTTGGAATTAAAACATTTACTGCTGGATTTTTGGATATTCT